TACCCAAGGTACATATACACCAAGCATCAAAGCATTCAGGCTTGTAGTTTTCAAGAAGAAGTCGAAAAAGTAAAACATTGACACGGACGACGGACGACGACGACGACGACGGACAATCACTCATATGATAAGCTCCGCTCGACAAAGTCGACAGCGGAGCTAAAAAAAACTGTCTGAAGTTTTGTTACTTTGGCATCCTAAACAGTACATTCACACCATTCAACACGTTTACTACCTTATTCATTCGTGAGAATTTAGTCATCAGAAGCAGACAAACACCTCTATTGTGCCGATGAATTTTGTAATAATTATGCGAGGATCATATGCGAGTTTCATCTCATATCAAAACTGATGAATGCCTGCTTTTGTGTGGCCGGCATCCAAAACCAGACAGAGAAAGCAATTTTTCCTTAAAACAGCTATCACTTAATGCTATGTTGTTAAGTGTGCATTCCCTGACTGTCATCTGACTCAACCAAGTTCCTGAATCAACATACATATCCTTGTTTAACCTTTTTTTTTTTTTTTTTTTTTTTTTTTTGCAGTGTTAAATTTTTCCATGATTGGTAGTAGCAAAATTCTGATTTGTTTTGTTAGAGGTAACTTTAAATTACAAGGTACGCAATGATTATTAAAAAGAAAAGAAAAATCATTCTAGTTTATTAAATGAAAGAAATTACACAACGTCGGTTCAAATGAAGCAAACGGGTTGATTTTCTTGCAGTGTAAAGAAATGTACGTGTGCAAATAGCAAGTCAATTACATGTGGAATTACTTTTAATGCTGTTTTCAAAGTTGACCAATTACTGGACTTCAAAGAACATGATGTTTGAAATCAAAGAACGAAATGACATAGCAACATAGCTACTTTAATTCAATCTATTTCATTCTGAGAGAATAGAATCTGGGGTAGTGGGAGGTGGGGGGGTCTACACATAAAGTACTAAATAACATAACTGCAAATTTATGAAAAAAAATTACTACAAATTGCAGAATAATTAAAATCTTTTGCAATTACAGAATGTTTTTGATATGCAGCGGGATTAATATGCATTAACATAAATAAGAACAGGGTTTAAACAAATGTTACAATTGAAACATACTCGATATTTCAAATAAAGAAGTGTCTTATGAAAATAAATATTTTTTTTTCGTGTGTACAATTTGTACTCAAATATAATATTTCCTTGATCAATGCAAGCAGTCAAGATTTTCCTCCAAGACAAGAAAAGGCAAATCTGTAGCAATTCTATCCTCATTACATACTATTTTTGCCGAAATTGTTGCAATATGGTATATAGTGTAATTAATCGACCTCCGACAGGCAGTTTGAAAGCTGTCACAAAATATCATAAACTGGCATTAAATTGTCTGTGGATTTAGATGAAAACAACTGAAAAACTTCAAAGCACTTTGGGTAAAGAAGGGAAAAAAAAAAAAAAAAACATTGAAAGGGAAATGAGATACAATGCATTCCTACCCATACTATCAAGGAAGGCATTAAAAAGTGTTTATTAGAAACAAAAATGATGTCACTTATCAACACATTAGAATCAAAATAGTGGGTCAAATACAGCGAAGAAATACCTTTTTTTTTTTATTACACTAAAAAAATTTAAAAAAAATAAAAATAACTAAAAATTAAAAGTGTGAAAATTTATATTTGTGAGCGTTAAATTGTGTTAGGAAGGAAGATGAGTGGGAATGATCTATACACTATGGAGATTAAATGTTCAGCAATGCTAGCTATGCACATTAAAACAAGTCTGACTCCTTCATCTTGCACCATTCTGAATCTTTTCATTTTCCAGCTATTCACAGAAAGCATCAGATGACACATCACAACAAAAAAAACTAAGGATCGCAAAAAAAAAAAAAAAAATTAGCTAGAATCACACTAACTACTGCAAAGACAATCATTCCAGGAAACATACAAAACCTTATTCCCAAAAACCGAATTAATAAAAAAAAACATATTGCATATTTTAGATATAGAATACATTCTCAATAATAAAGAACTGTTTACTATTTCCTGTTTTTGAAAAAAAAAAAAAAAAACGACAGTGAGAAATATCAATAATGCATTTATATGAAAAAATATTGAGAATTTTAATGATGTCGACTGCTAGCAGACATTTTCTGCATGAGAGCTGATAATCAATATAAAAGATGCAAATAGGTCACCGGCTTATTAACTGCCCTTCGTTTTACAAAATTACATGTTTAGAAAATCAAAATTATCTTTGAAAAAGAAACGCACATTAGTGAAAAAAAACATGTTTTGTCTTAATTGCCTAGTGCAGTTGGCATTAATCAGTTGTTTTTTTTATATATTTTGATTCCCCAGGAAATCAGCGCAGTCCCATTCAAGTATTGTGATGTGATTTCTTCTAGTTATTACGACTCTGCTGCTGTCTCAATGTAATTACAACGGCTAGATGATATAAAATTTTGCAGCCATATTTAATTAGGGCCAGGCTCAACGTGCCATGCGGCAAGCGAGTGATACGCACACTGCTTCACACACATTATCACAACCCAATAAAAAAAAAAAAATGAAGATTATCAAATGTGGTATTTTGTTTTTTACCCTTTTTTGGAGGTAACTGAGAGGTCACTAACAAGACTTATCAGTATGTCTGTTACCATAACGACCAGCTATTGATAAAGACTATCTCCTTTTGAAAGTCAACACCAGGGTGCTTATTGACATTGGCTGAGGTTACAATTTTCAAGAAAATCTTCAATGTTGATCTCTTAGGGATAATCAAAACTACACAAATGACTCCCTTTTACTCTCTCATAAAAATTGACTCTGCCCTTGGCCTACTTTTAAATAGGATTCTTTTTACCTGTCTAGCAGATGCAGGTTTTTTTTTATCTTAATTTCATTGCCCGGCTGTGTAAAGATACAATATATAATTTAATTTGACCTCAGTGTAGAGATTGCAATAAATTTCAGTATCACAGCAATAAACAGTCAATATATATGTCCTTATGCAAGAGCAATTTTATAAAATGGGAGTGGTGTGTCCTCAATTTTATTTCCAACTTTTATCAATATCAGACACTAAAATCAGTTTTACAAGTGTTATAGAACAAAATATTAATAAAACAATGATAAATACGTCTAATACCCTTTGAACACCAAAATAAACTTTTGTCAA